TCCTCCTTCGTTCATCAATGATGGTGAGGTTGGGGTTGATGGGTTCCGGTATGTACGGCTCCACCGTGATGATGGCGGCCTCCACATCTTCACTTCGTTCCTCTGGTGACACTTGCAGACACCTTTTCCTGGGGATTGGAGAAGAAAAAAAGAATAAAATATCACTGACTGGTACATTCTTTTCTTAACAAGAATAATAAACATATTCTTAATGGGGGCCCCATTAGTGGAGATTTTAAAGAAAAGGTTGGGGGTTGGACTAGAAGACCTCCAAGGCCCCTTCCAGCCCAGAGGGACTCTATCCTTTCTCCTGTTAGTCCCACCAACATTTTGGGAGGCTTTCAGTGCCCCAGGGCTCCCCAGGTTGTGGTGACGCCCCGATCAGGAGCAACTTACCTGCACTGGTGGAAGAAAACGCAGAGGCCAACCAATGCATAGACCCCAAGGACAAACAAGGTCACTTTCCAGGGGTCTCCAAGGACGTTCTGGGTTCTGTTAAGGGATGGCCGCAGCAGCTCATTTGGGTCCATTTCTGGAAAAGAAAAGGTATGGAGGAAGAAGAGTCAATCTCTGGTTTTAAGGGTTGGTGGTTCCCCTCCAAGACTAACCATCCCAAGGTCAAACTCCCAAGCAAGGAAAAAAACCACACCTCAGACCAGAAACCAAGTCCTGCTCACCTCAGTCTCAGTCTCAGTCTCAGTCTCAGTCTCAGTCTCAGTCTCAGTCTCAGTCTCAGTCTCAGTCTCTATCTTTCTCTTTCTTGCTTGCTCTCTCTCTCTTTCTATCACTCTCTCTGGCTCTGTCTCTCTTTCAAGTGAGTCTTTGATCCACTCAACCTTCTTTAGCCTGCATGGCCCCACCCATCAACGGAAAAGAATCCCAACAGAATCCAGGTATCCAGGTAACCTAGAGGTCAAACAACACTTCTCCCTCTACTCAACCCTTGGCCCCTCCCTCCCTTGGAATCCCCCCCCTTTCAGCTCAGGAGGGAAGGTTAACAGTTTAGTGGCCCTCAGCAGTGGGGAATACAGGGGGTTCTGCCTAAGCAGGGGGTTGGACTAGAAGACCTCCAAGGTCCCTTCCAACTGTTATTTTCTGTGGGGCTTTCCGAGAAGCGACCCTCCAAACCTTGGTTCCACCCCACCTGTGCCCAATGACACGGCCATCAAATAACACCCTTCACCCATGGCAGAGACTTCCTTCCTCCCAAGCAGGCCTGACAGGCTCACCTGCTATTTGCGAAGGGATCCTCAAGCACAAGACCTGAGGTGCAGCCTAAAAGAAAGGCTCATCCCTTCTCCTTGTTCAGCGACGGAACGGACTCCAAAAGCACCATCCCCCTTTGGGGCCTCTTCAGCACACATCCCAAAGGTGCTTTTCAAAAGAGAGCTGGAATTTCTTGGGTTTTTTCCCTTGAAGACGTTTCGCTTCTCATCCAAGAAGCTTCTTCGGTTCTGACTGAATGGTGGGGAATGGAAGGATTTCTCCTCCTTGCAGCCGTTTGGTGGTTAGCATTGTGAAGGTCAGCCGTGGGCTCTCTGAGAGGCCTTGAGGCCACCTGGGGGTTTATCTGCACCCTCAGGGTCCCCTGAATCAGAGGGCAAATGTGGGGGGGAACCTCCTTGGAACTGGGGAAAGGACCCTGTTGCTGTCTTCGGAGAGAGCAAAGTCCACCCTCTGGACAGAGGAGATCCCTGGTTGGAAAGAGGGTCAAAGAGGCCATCTACGTTAAAACGGAACAGCCCCCTCTCAACAGAGGGGGAGGGGGAGGACCCCACCTCTCTCCTGTCTACCAGACCATCCTGAGGACGTGGGGTTTGGGGCGGCCCAGTCTTTGTGCAAGGAGTCAGCCGGGTCTCTGCAGGTTTCCAGAATTGAGAGGATTTCTCCCAGACTGACCTGCTTTCTGCCTCCATCCTCCAATGCAGCACGCAGGAATATTGGTTTCGAGAGAACCTACCGTATATTCCAGAACAGGACATAATATTGTACATGTGTTTGTCTTCCAGTTCTTATAATCTCAATGATCCTTTAGGACAATTGTTGAACAGGGAGGGCAAATTATAATTTAAAGGAATCGAGGAATAGTGACAATAATGGAAAATGCAGTCGGTCAATTAAAATCCAAAGAATAAAATGTGTAACTATTCCCAGCTTTTCCCTCAAAGTTTGGTCAGAAGAGAGGTCAAGGAACAGCTGAGGTCTCCTTAGTGTTACCTGCTTCCATCCTCCAATTCCTCTGCCTTTCAGATGGGGATGGGCAACCAGAGTTTGACGGGCGTCCCCCAAGGTCTCTGCCACCTGATGTGGTTGCAAAGAGGGAAAGTCAAAAGGTAACCCAGACTTGGGATGCTTAAAAGCAGAGGGCCAGTCTCTGTCAAAGCTTATTTCCATGAAGATTTCCTTCTGGGGCTACCGGAGCATTTTTAGGAAACACAGGCTGGGTGAGGGCATCTCAGGGCTTTCTCCAGAAGTGAGGCTTCCTGCTGAAAAAGGCAAAGGGCCAAAGGTGGAGGAGAAGTCATTGTGGGCAAGGAAAGATGAACTGGGATCTCTGTGGTTGTTGAATTTAATTTTAAATGTCTAGTAGGTGACCAGTGACCTGCTGGATCCCCTTTTCAGATCTGCTTCCTTCCCAGGATCTCCCTCAGCTCCTTCAATGAGGTTGGGGGGGGGCTCCTGCTGTGTTGCTTCTCCTCAAACGCTGGGCAGACCCTCAGAGGGAGCCCTGATGGATGACCCCATGTAGCCCAGTCCACAATCAGCCCAGGAGAGTTTTCAGGACCTTTTGTGTGATGTCACAATCTTGCATCCAGCTGTGGAGAGATGGGGGGTGTCCCCTCAGAGGACCCCCCAGCAACTGTGGGTCTTTCAAGATGGAGAGTCAGAAGCTGGAAGAGACATCCGGAGAGTCCCAGACAAAGTCTGTGGAGGGAAAAGGAAAAACTGGGAGTGAAAGGCCTTGGAAAGAGGAGCTAAATGACTTGGGGAGGGGGGAAGAGAGGGAGGGAGGGAGAAAGAGAGAGAGAAAGAGAGGAGGAAGGAGGGAAGAGAAAATACAGGGAAGGGAGGCTTAACTGCCTTTATGTCCTTGAACTGGGAAGACTGCAGGAGTTTCTTGCAGGCACTGGAGATAATCTTTGGATCTCTCTGTCAAAGGGATCAAGTGGATCTCTCAGCTCCCTCACAACCCACCATCTCCCCTCCCTCTCTTCTCTATCCTGGATCCTCTAGTTCTAGCCCATTTCTTTTCTTTTATAGAACCGACCGGCTTCCCTCAATTTCCCTTTGAGATTGATTTTGAGGTGGGAGGTTTGGGGCAGCTGGGAAGGAGAGATGCTGTCCGGTAGAAGAATTGGAGGGAAGATCAGATTTCAAGGTCTTTTTGGTCCAGAGCTGGAAAATCTTCTTCCCTGAAAGTGCCCAACAGATGGAAAGAGGTCCAGGGATGGGGGGTGGGCATTCTTTGGGGGGGTGTCATGGTGACCCCTGCAGAGCTCCCCATTCCCTCCAATAGTCCCCAACACCCTCTGTGGCCCTTTGGAATTTCCTCCCCCCAGAACCCAGATTGGCCCCTGAAGTAACAACTGTGCAAGACCATCCTTAGTTCAGGGGGTTGAATGAGAGATTTTGATTTCTTCTGCACACTAAGAAGATTCCAGAAGTTTAGAGTTCTTTCTGAGCTAACCTGCTTGTCTTTCACTTCTACTTGAAATTGGGGTGAGGGGAAAGAGAGAACCCCAAGATTGTGGATATCCGCTCCTCTCCATAGTTTCCCAGGCATTTGGGAGGGGGCCATAACCAGGATCCCCATGCAGTCAGAGTGGGCTCCCCCAGTTGAGGTGCCCTGGAAACAGGCAGGAGGTCCTGAGTCCAGACTGGGCTGGAAGTTGCCTTTGACCTGGGAGCCTCTGGATCAAGCTTGGCGCTGTGTCCTCTGGAAATTGGCCGCCCTTCGGGTCTCTCTGTTGTCGTCCTTAAGCAGATCCTGGCAGTTTAGGGGAGATCTTGCATAGGATGGACCCCCAATCTCCCCAATCTCTTGCTTTTTTAGGCTGGGTGTTTACGTTTTTGTTTAATTCACTTGAATTAATACTCCTTATTCAGAATGGAATACAACAGAACAGAATAACGGAAAATGGAATGGAAATAGAATTTCCTTCCAACTTAAGAAGGTAAAGACTCTTGAAACGTGATAGTTCAAAAGGATCCTTTTATTAAGCAAAAGTGATAGCAACCCAGTTAAAGAAAGAACTGAATACCCTTAGGCAAGACAAGTAGAATTAAAGCAGTAGAGACCCCTCTCTTAAGTCAGAATGCAGATTTTAGCCAATACACAGGTGTGAAGATGTTTTCTTTACTAGTTTCCCTGAGAACCCTTTCTCTGACATCTGGTCCAGCCCTTCACAGACAAGGCAAGCTTGGAAGAAGAGCAGAGAAATGCTTTAGGTAGAAATTGTAGAGTAGAAAATTAGAGGGCCTGAAAACGATTTTATTTCTCTGATTGAGGAAAATATATATATAAAGTGGAAATTTCTTTACACGCTTTCTTTATTTACTTTTTAAAATTTTGGTGTGAAGTACATACCAAAATAAAAACAATCCCAAACTGAAATCCCAGACAGCTGTTCTGCTGAACTCTTTCTGCAAAGGAGGTTTTTATGAGGAAATCAAGAAAGAATTATATAAGAGGGATGAAGATTTGCCTCCTCAGCTGAGAGCTGGTCAAACATGGCATTTCACATCATTCCGGCATTCTCAGAGAGATGATCAGGCAACCAGGCTGGTGCTTGGTTCCCACAGCTTCCTCCTGACCTCTTTTCCTGCTCTCTCTCTCTCTCTCACACACTTTAAGCTGCTGTCAGTAGGAACAAGTGCCAGCATTATTTTTTATAGGGTGACACGTTCAGTAGCTGCTGCTGAACAGCAAATTCCTCTGAATGACTTTTAGCAAAAATTATTGAGCTGAAAGGAAAGGGAGCTGCAAGTATTCCAGTCATTCAACAATTTCCCATTTTGAAAAATAGATATGATTTTCTTTGACATACTATTCTTTGACATATTATTTGGCATACTGTCTACATGGAAAGAATATCTCCTTTCAAATAAAAGAACCGTTAACAATTCTTCCAATATCATAATGGTGTTATATCTCATGTTTTTACATTTGTTCTGCCTGTGAGCTGCTCCTTTGTGTTCAGGTCTGGCCTCAGAAGGATAATGTAGCACTTGGGGATGAAGATGCAGCCCAGCAGACCAGCACTGGAGGCCAGGATGGAGAAGACCTGCACAGCCACCATGGATTTCCCTTTGGTGCTCAGGTAGGTGGGCACAAAAGTCACCCAGACACTGCAGAAGACCAGCATGCTGAAGGTGATCAGCTTGGCTTCGTTGAAGGCGCCAGGCAGATTCCTGGCCAGGAAAGCCACCGTGAAGCAGATGGCAGCCAGGAAGCCCATGTAGCTGAGGGTGACGTAGAACATGACAACGGCCCCTTCGTTGCATTGCAGGATGATCTCTCCAGGCTGGGAGTGGAGGTCAGAGTCAGGGAAGGGGGCAGAAACTCCCAGCCAGATGGAGCAGATGATAATTTGGACAACAGAACAAGAGAGGATGATGGAGTTGGCCAAGCTCTTCCCCAACCATCTCTTCACCCGGTTTCCTGGTTTTGTGGCCAGGAAAGCCAGCACCACCGTGATGGTTTTGGCCAAGAGAGAAGAAACGGCAACTGAGAAGATGATGCTGAAAAATGTTTGCCGGAGAAGGCAGGTGGCTTTCCTTGGTTGACCAATGAAGAGAGAAGGAGACATGAAGCAAAGCAGGAGGGAGACCAGGAGGATGTAGGAGAGGTCCCGGTTGTTGGCTTTGACAATGGGAGTTTCTCGGTATTTAATGAAGATGATTAAAACAAGGCTTGTGTTCAGGAACAAAAGTAGAGCAAAAGAGACCAGGGTGATGCCCAGATATTCTTCATGAGACAGGAAGGTTATAACTTTGGGGATACATTGGACTCTGTTCTTATTTGGATAGTTATCATCTGGACACTTGGTGCATTTTTCCGTATCTGAGAAAAGGAAAAAACAATATTTCTTTAAAATTCTGCCTTAAAATGTAAAAAAAAATATAGCTAAGTCTGTGAAGTTGGGGGAAGTCCTAGGATGATAATTATTTCTGTCTAATGTGAAAAATCCTAATAGGAACCTATATTATTAGAGGTAAAGAACGAATCAGATCATATTTCTAGGCAAACATCCTGAGTCCTGCCTCCCACTTGGTACTTCATAATATACTGGATTTTAGGATACCATCTTTTGAAATCTAGCTCACTGGCAGAAAAAGTTTGTCCTGCAAATAATCCAGAATGGATACTGAAAAGAAAAGGTAACATAATAATCCACACCGTCTCATTCTGGACCAGCAGCACCTTCTCAGTGATCCTCCAAAGGAACCCAGGTAGAACCCAATGATTAATTAATTGCAAGAAGGCTTTCAGGAGGTGAACCTAAAAGTCTACTTTTGGTCAATCATGGGCCGGGGATCTTTCCTTCCTAATTGACCAAGTTGAAAAGAAAAGTTAATATGGATGCAATGATGTGATGTTCATCATTGAGGGAACAGCGGTGCTCCCCAATTATGTTTAGTTATGTCAGTGTTTAGTTATGTCCACGCAGGTGCAAGCAGATGCTTTTCCTTCTGCTGCGTAAGTGCAGGACTATTTTAAAGTTTTAGGTTAAAGGCCGAGAGTTTCCTATAAAAAGGGGCTGTCAGCAGGGAACTACCAAGTAGTGGGAAATAAACGCAGCTGCTGGAAGTCTGGCTCCTCGTTTGTGTTCCCACCTACAACATTCTATTGGTGATGAAGGAGGGAATGCTGGGCTCTGAGCCAATAGAGAGAAGTGCTGTATAAATACTGTTACTATAAGTGGTGTATAGCGTACCACTATAAACTGATTCACCGGCCCGGAAAGATTTTGGGACATGCCGATGCTCTCAGCAGATGTCCCCTGCCTGACTTATTGGATGACCCGACCCCGGGCATTCCTGTTCTCCTTATTGACTGCCTGGACTCTGGCCACATGACTTCTGCCACTGCCACTGTGGCAAGGCACTCAGCTAAAAATGCAACGTTCAAAACACTTTTGAACTGGGTTTGAAGGGGATGGCCAAAGGGCCCGTTTGGCACAGAGTTTAAGCCATTTGCGATTTGACATCATGAAATATTGGCACAAGGGGGTTGTTTGTTGTGGGGGGACTGGGTAATTATACCACCAAGTCTAAGTGTTCTGTACTAAATGCATTGCATGAGGGACATCCGGGGATTGTCTGGATGAAAGCCCTGGCTCGTAGTTTTGTGTGGTGGCCCAATATGGATGAAGAGATACAGGAATCAGTAGCAAAGTGCCAACCCTGCCAGGAATCATGACCCACTCCCCCTAAAGCATTCATCCAAGAGTGGAACTGCCCAAGAGCTCCCTGGTTGAGTATCCACATTGATTTTGCTGGGCCCTTCCATGGCCAAACATTCTTAGTGGCCATGGATGCCTATTCCAAGTGGATGGAAATCATCCTTATGGGCACCACTACTGCGGACGCAGTAATCAAAGTACTCCGCAAACTATTCACAACTCACAGCCTGTCAGATGTCCTCGTTTCGGACAATGGCCCATAATTTATGGCCAGCCAATTTGAGGGGTTCCTGGCAGAATTGGGAATATGCTATGTCCTCATTGCACCTTTTCATCCAGCCAGTAATGGACTGGCTGAAAGGTCTGTCAGATCTGTTAAGGAGGCATTGGGCAGGTTGGTACCAGGTGATTGTCAAGAGTGGGTAGACAAATTCCTCTTGTACCAACACATAACACCCAGTGTGGTCACAGGCAGAAGCCCAGCAGAGCTTTTGATGGGTCACAGGCTTCGATCAGTCTTAGACTGCCTGCACCCAAATTATGCCCCCGAAACAACAAAAGAAATGCAGAACTGCACCAGTTCCTTTAGCATTGGGGACCTGGTTCAGTCACAAAACTTTGCTGAAGGATTCCTATGGCTACCTGGCAAAATAGAAAAAATCACAGACCCCAAGTCGTATATAGTTAGGCTAAATGACGGGCGCCAATGTGGGCAGCACATAGACCAACTACATAACCGCCTCAGTCCAAACAACAAAAGTCTAGAAATTGAACAACAAGAACTTAATTCTAATCCCTTCCTAGCAGACTCAAGCCCAATGGAACCGGAGAACACACCCGAAGAACCGGGAATCCAGTGATGCTCCTCCAGCGAACCGGTTCCTATAGAGTCCAAGGCCCTGCCCAAAAGTTTCCAGGACTTTCCATGGGTGGAGCAAGAGGCAGCAGCAGGTACAACCTCTCCGCCTGCTGCCGCCATGCCAACTGAACCGTGCAGGTCAAGTAGAGCTAGTAAGTGGCCCGCCTACCTGCGCAACTACGTAAAGTGGATTGCTCCAACTAGGAGGGGAGGGGTGTTAGATATTGACAGGATAGTTTTCCCTCTGGTTTGAGAGAGAAGAATGCTTAAACATGATTGGCTGGTTTCCCTGACAGTTCCCTAGAAAAGGGCTGGCTGTCAGAGAGGCTAGTTGCTGGATTGTAAATACAGGTGAAACTCGAAAAATTAGAATATCGTGCAAAAGTTCATTTATTTCAGTAATGCAACTTAAAAGGTGAAACTAATATATGAGATAGACTCATTACATGCAAAGCGAGATAGTTCAAGCCTTGATTTGTCATAATTGTGATGATTATGGCTTACAGCTCATGAAAACCCCAAATTCACAATCTCAGAAAATTAGAATATTACATTAAATCAATAAAACAAGGATTGTACATAGAACAATATCGAACCTCTGAAAAGTATAAGCATGCATATGTACTCAGTACTTGGTTTGGGCCCCTTTTGCATCAATTACTGCCTCAATGTGGCATGGCATGGATGCTATCAGCCTGTGGCACTGCTGAGGTGTTATGGAAGACCAGGATGCTTCAATAGCAGCCTTCAGCTCTTCTGCATTGTTCAGTCTCATGTCTCACATCTTTCTCTTGGCAATGCCCCATAGATTCTCTATGGGGTTCAGGTCAGGAGAGTTTTTTGGCCAATCAAGCACAGTAATCCCATGGTCATTGAACCAGGTTTTGGTACTTTTGGCAGTGTGGGCAGGTGCCAAGTCCTGCTGGAAAATGAAGTCAGCATCCCCATAAAGCTCATCTGCAGAAGGAAGCATGAAGTGCTCCAAAATCTCCTGGTAGACAGCTGCGTTGACCCTGGACTTAATGAAGCACAGTGGACCAACACCAACAGATGACATGGCTCCCCAAATCAACAGACTGTGGAAACTTCACACTGGACTTCAAGCATCTTGCAGTGTGTGCCTCTCCATTCTTCCTCCAGACTCTGGGTCCTTGGTTTCCAAATGAGATGCAAAAGTTTCTCTCATCAGAAAAGAGGACTTTGGACCACTGAGCAACAGACCAGTTCTTTTTGTCTTTAGCCCAGGTAAGACGCTTCTGACGTTGTTTGTTGTTCAGGAGTGGCTTGACGAAGAATACGACATTTGAAGCCCATGTCCAGGATCCGTCTGTGTGTAGTGGCTCTTGATGCACTGACTCCAACCTCAGTCCACTCCTTGTGAAAGTCCCCAACACTTTTGAATGGCCTTTTCCTGACAATCTTCTCCAGGCTGCGGTCATCCCTGCTGCTTGTGCACCTTTTTCTTCCACACTTTTCCCTTCCACATAACTTTCTATTAATGTGCTTTGATACAGCACTTTGGGAACATCCAACTTATTTTGCAATTACCTTTTGAGGCTTTCCCTCCTTATGGAGGGTGTCAATGATGGTTTTCTGCACAACTGTCAGGTCTGCAGTCTTTCCCATGATTGTGATTCCTACTGAACCAAACTGAGAGACCATTTAAATGCTCAGGAACCCTTTGCAGGTGTTATGGCTTAATTAGCTGATTAGAGTGGGACACTTTGAGCCTAGAATATTGAACCTTTTCACAATATTCTAATTTTCTGAGATTGTGAATTTGGGGTTTTCATGAGCTGTAAGCCATAATCATCAAAATTATGACAAATCAAGGCTTGAACTATCTCGCTTTGCATGTAATGAGTCTATCTCATATATTAGTTTCACCTTTTAAATTGCATTACTGAAATAAATGAACTTTTGCACGATATTCTAATTTTTTGAGTTTCACCTGTAGTTGCTGAATAAAGAGCTGTTGTCTGAAGCCTGTCTCCAGTCTCTTCAATCCACCTATCTAACACTATGTTTCTCTGAAACCTGGTTAAATGAATCAATTGATGATAGCAGCCTGCATATCCCAGGGTTTCTGATTCAACGATCAGACAGAATTGCAGAAACATCTGGTAAAAAGAAGGGAGGAGGCTTATGCTTATATATCAACAATAGCTGGTCTCAGGATATAACTATAATATATAAATTCTGTGACAAAATCTTAGTGTCAGATCCCTAAAAGTGATACTGCCATTCAAGTGAAGGAAGGGGGGACTTGGATTCGATTTACTAGCATGGCCTGTGTCATCAGATATTTTACAACCTATATCCTGGCGCCAAGGAAGCCTGAGATTCCCTTTACCTGCAGGAATTTATATGATAGCCATGTGGGTTGTCTCACTTTAAAGGGAAGTGGTGGGAATGCATGTTTGTTCGGGTTCTCAAAGGAAATAGTAAAGAAAACATCTTCACACTTGTGTATTGGCTGAAATCTGCATTCTGACTTAAAGGGAGGGGTCTCTACCACTTTAATCCTACTGCTTTGCCTAAGGGCATTCAGATTGTGCTTTAGCTGGATGGTTTTCACTTCTGCTTAATAAAAGAATCCTTTTGAACAACTACGTTTCAAGAGTTCGTACTTTCTTAAGTTGGAAGGAGAGGCAATCCCTACACTTAGAGACATTAATTATCAACTGCAAACCATATTATTCTTGTGAATTTTCCTCATTTCTTCTAATTGCTGTTTATGTCCCATCACAAACCAGTGTAAACAAGGTATTACGAACTCTAGCTGACCAAATAATGGAGGCTGAAGCCAAATATCCTGATTCACTGGCCATTATTTTGGGAGATTTAAATAAGGCAAACTTAAGGAAAGAGCTACCAACATACTTTCAGCATGTCAATTGTCCCACTAGAGGCAAGAGTACTTTAGACCGTTGCTACACAACACTAAAAGATGCTTATCGGTCCTTACCACAAACAGCTGTGGGACACTCTGATCATTGCATGATTCACCTTGTACCTGCTTACAGGCAAAAACTTAAAACCACAAAAACAACAATTAAATCAGTGAAGACCTGGTGGAGGAGGCAAAGTTAAAGCTACAGGCCTGCCTTGATTGGAATGTTTTTGAAAGTACCTTTGCAGACTTAGATGAACTCACAGAGATTGTAACATCATATGTTAGCTTCTGTGAAGACCTATGTGTACCCACCAGGATCTTGCGAATATATAGTAACAACAAACCTTGGTTCACAGCTACGTTGTTCCAAAGAGGAAGCCTACAGAAAAGGTGATAAAATGCTGTACAATCAGGCCAGAAATGTATTAACAAGGGCGATCAGAGCAGCAAAAAGAAGCTACTCTGAAAAGCTAAAGAATCAGTTCTCAACAAATGAACCAGCAAACATGTGGAAAACTCTTAAAAATATCACCGGTTATGGCAAACCTCCTTCCCAGGCTGAAGCAACTTCCCAGCAACTGGCAGATGACCTGAAGGTGTTTTACTGCAGGTTTGAAAGGAAAGGAAAGGAAAGGAAACTACAGCCACCTACTGTATCTCCATAACCCCCATCTCAGACACACCAACAACAGCCAAGCCTCCTACAACTGACCCCATCCCATTGGGTTCACAACAGTGGTGAAATCTAAAACTTGTTACTACCAGTTCTGTGGGCGTAGCTTGTGGGGGTAATGTGACTGGGTAGGCATGGCCAATTTTTTTTTAACTTTTAAAACCATTTTTTTGTAAAATGGTAAAAAATGTTTTCAAAAGCCTCTTACGATCCCAGCTGAGTTGCCTGATTGGCAGAGGCTTTTTTTCTTTTAAAAGTCTCTGCTGATCAGGCAACTCAGCTGGGATCGTCAGATGCATTTAAAAGAAAAAAAAGCCTCTGCCGATCAGGCAACTCAGCTTGGATTGTCAGAGGCTCTTTAAAGCTTTTAAGAGCTTTAAAAAGCCTTTGATGATCCCAGCTGAGCTGCACGATCAGAAGAGGCTTTTTTTTTTACTTTTAAAAGCATTTTTTCTGCCAAAGAGGTTGTAGTAAAAATGCTTTTAAAAACTAAAAAAAAAAAAAAAGCCTCTGATGATTGCAGGGCTCACCTGGGGGGGGCAGGGATTTTTTCCGAACCACCCGCCGCCATTGCTACTGGATCGGGCGATCCGGTCCAAACCAGGAGCATTTCACCCCTGGTTCACAACTCCTACTGATCACAGAAAAGGAAGTGCAAGATCTATTCCACAGACAAAAGCCAGGAAAAGCTCCAGGCCCAGACAAGATAACTCCTTCTTGCTAAAAAGTCTGTGCTGACCAATTGGCCCCAATCTTCACCCTAATCTTCAATAAATCGCTAGAGATGTGCCATGTTCCTTCTTGCTTCAAACGCTCCACTATCATCCCAGTGCCGAAGAAGCCCACCATCAAGGAACTGAACGACTACAGACCAGTTGCTCTAACATCTGTAGCCATGAAAACCTTTGAAAGGCTAGCGATGTCCCACTTGAAAACCATCATGGATCCGCTGTTAGACCCCTTGCAATTTGCATACCGAGCAAATAGATCAACAGATGATTCTGTTAATATGGCTCTGTTTGCCCTACATCCTACAACATCTTGAATCTCCAAAGACCTACGCAAGGGTCCTCTTTGTAGACCTTAGTTCAGCATTCAATACCATCATTCCAGACACTCTTCTAACTAAGCTAAACCAGCTACAGGTACCCGAACACACTTGTAAGTGGATCATAACCTTCCTAACAAACAGGAAGCAGCAGGTGAAGCTAAGCAGAATCACATCAGATATCTGTACAATTAGCACAGCCCCCCCCCCCCAAGGCTGTGTGCTCTCCCCACTTATCTTCTCTCCGTATACCAATGACTGCATCTCTAACGATCCATCTGTTAAACTACTGAAGTTCACAGATGACACAACAGTGATTGATAGGACTCATTCGAGACAATGATGAATCCGGGAGGTTGAACAACTAGCCTTGTGGTGCGACCAGAACAATCTGGAACTGAACACACTCAAAACTGTAGAAATGGTGGTGGACTTTAGGAGAAACCCTCCCATACTTCCACTTCTTACAACACAGAATCAACAGTAGAGACCTTCAAAATTCTAGGTTCTACTCAGGCGCCAACTCGGAAAGCTCAAACTGCCCAAGGAGCTGCTGATCCAGTTCTACAGAAGAATTATTGAGTCTGTCATCTGCACCTCTATAACTGTCTGGTTTGGTTCTGCAACCCAACCAGACAGACACAGACTTCAGAGGATAATTAGAACTGCAGAAAAAACAATGGCTACCAACCTGCCTTCCATTGAGGACCTCCATACTGCATGAGTGAAAAAGAGGGCTGGGAAAATATTTACAGACCCCTCACATCCTGAACATAAATTGTTTCAACTCCTACCCTCAAAACGACACTATAGAGCACTGCACACCAGAACAACTAGACACAAGAACAGTTTTTTCCCCATGCCATCACTCTGCTAAACAAATAATTCCCTCAACACTGTCAAACTATTCACTAAGTCTGCACCACTATTAATCTTCTCTTCATTACCATCACCCATCTCCTTCCATTTATAACTGTATGAGTGTAACTTTGTTGTTTGTATCCTTACGATTTATATTGATATTGATTGTTTCTTGATTGCTTATTTGTACCCTATGACTATCATTAAGTGTTGTACCTTATGATTCTTGATGAACATATATTTTCTTTTATGTACACTGAGAGCATATGCACCAAGACAAATTCCCCATTTATCTGTACTTACTTCCTTTGTTTATGTTCATGTTTATACCTATACCTGTTATCTTGTATATGTTTGACAAATAAATAAATAAATAAATAAATAAATAAATAAATAAATAAGTATCCATAACAATCCAAATCACCTCATTGTGGACCAGGAACACCTTCTCAGGCATCCTCAAGGGGAGGCCTATGTAGAACCCATTGCAATCCTTTCATGAGGTAGACCTGAGACAATTCAAAGAACTCAGATGTTTCTAGAAAGGTAAAATTAGGCATACACATCCAAAATATAAAGCAAAAGAAATATTTCCTCTGCTGTTAGTAGAGCTTGCCCAGTCTGCCACCCCCTCCTCCCATCCCTTCCGAGCCCCTCCTTCCAAGTCTTCTTGATTTAGTTCCATTTAGATAAGAAATTATGTAGGTTAAAAATAAAAACCCATGTGAGCTTCCATCTGTCTTTTAACTTGCACTTTCATGAAAAGGTTCTGGATGGATCCAGTTCCACAAAGCCTCCCATTTTCCTCAGGGTGACCCACCTTCCTGAGTGGAGAAGGTCCCCTCCGGACAAGGAACACAGTCATAGCAGCAAACTGGCTCTCCTTCTCGAGCCCTCTTGACAAATCCAGGATGACAACTTTCCACACATTTGGACTGAGGCAGGGACTGAGCAGAAAAACAAGGAATGCCAAAGAAAAGGTGTTAGGACTCTCCGTCCATGGAAAATGGAGGTAGAAGCAGGGATGGATTCTACTTACCTTTACCACCGGTTCTCAATGGGATTGGGATTGCTTCGCTTGTGTGCCGCCTTGCTTCTGCGCATGCACAGATTGCTGATGACGACATCCGGGGTGCTGGGCGGGGCCTCCCGCCGGTTTTACTACCGGTTCTTGCAAACTGCTCCGAACTAAGGGCAACCCACCACTGGGTAGAAGTGAACTAACCAAAATAGTCTCTAGGTTTCATTGAGGCAAATATGAAATCCCTGACTCCTTCCAAACAGATGTAGGAGATATAACTACTGGCAGATTCTTCTTTTAGTTCCTGCCTTTTGCTTTTGGCATCTAACATTGCAATAAAGGATTTTTCTACTTAATAAAATCTGCAGGGATGGAACTGAGAAAAGATTTAAGCATTCAGTGACAACCAGGGGGTTCCTCATGCCCTTAAAACACACATCTCCCCTCTTCATGGAGCCTCCCAAGCAGTCTAAGAAAACAATCTGGTTTCTGTTCCCCAGATTCAATTCTCAGTGATGGTCAACCACTTTGGGGACTAGGCTGAGCCCACTTGAAATGGGTCCACAGGCTTTGGAAAACAGAGAAAAGGCACCAAACTTTCACCCACCTTATTCAGCAACTTTAGTTGAGAAAGAGCATCTTGATTGATAATAAGTCTCTGGCTTTCAAAATACGCCACAAGTTCTTCCATGCCATCCTCCTTAGGGAGAACCAACAAGCTGTCAATGCCCAGATCTGCTGTTATCTCTCCATTTTGGTCCAAGTACACTTTTCTCTCAGAAATATTGCAAAACTCATTCTTCTCCAGAAAGGGATGAAACTAAGATTGAAACATCCATGAATTTTTAAAGCACAAAACTTCATTACTTATCCTACATTTGAATCTTTCTTCTATGGTTCTCTTACTTGACAAAAATGAGCCCTATTTTGAAAATAAGCCCTAGCATGATTTTACCTGTGCACCTAATATAAGCCTTACCCACAAAATAAGCCCTAGTTAAGTGTCGGGGTTCCAAGTAACACCCCCAATGAAATCAAACTCCAAGGCTTGAAGTTCCCCAAAGCTAACTTTTATTAAAGGTGTCATATTGGCACAGCTGGGAAAACCCAAATCTGAGAGCTTTCAGGTTTTCCTCATCCAAAAGAATGTTCAAGATCTTGCCCACATCACCCACATGTCCACCATGTCTCCAGTCATATCCAGTCCGTAGCAGAAGACATCCTCCTCCTCTTCTTGTCACATCTGCCGGGCATCTTGGCCTTGACTTTCTACAAATAATTTTATTATGGCTACAACTTACTTCCCTTTGTGCTATTCCCCCTCCCAACTTCCCACGGTAGGGTTGTGGCAGGCCTGGAGCCTGAAGGCACACAGGAAAATATGGCTTCCAGGCCTGACAGGTGGTCTCCCCTCAGAAAAAATATGGGTCCTGAAAAGAGAATAATGAGAAGGGGAGTTAGTCAGTTCTAACCACCCTTCTCCCTTTGGCTTGTCCAGGTATTTATCATGGGATTGTTTAATTAGCCTGTCTGCTTTTACATTCCAGCTTTTGACCCAAGTGGCTTCAGACAAAGGGTACTCTTTCCAGTGTATCAGATATTGTAATTGCCCTCTGTATAGTCTGGAATCTAATATTTTCTTGACTTCATAATGGGTCTCTCCTTGTACTACCATGGGAGGAGGAGATGGTTGGGTTTGGGGTCTTAGACTAGACCCAACCAAAGGTTTTAGTAAGCTACAATGAAATATCGGATGTATTTTTCCTAATATGCGAGGGAAACTCAATTGGACTGTCACCGGGTTTATTTATTTATTTATTTATTTATTTATTTATTTATTTATTTATTTATTTATTTATTTATTTATTTGGTTTATATGCCGCCCTTCTCTGGAGACTCAGGGTGGCTTACAATGTGTTAAGCAATAGCCTTCATACTTTTGTATATACCTGCTTAGTAGGGCTTTTGGCCCCCCCTAAGCGGTGTTCTTTTTTATACAAAGTCAGTTTATTGCCCCCATAATCCGGGTCCTCATTTTACCTACCTTGGAAGGATGGAAGGCTGAGTCAACCTTGAGCCTGGTGAGATTTGAACTTGCAATAATTGCAGGCAGCTGGCAGCTAAATGCTATTTAACAGTGCTTTAGTCTGCTGCTCCACCAAGGCTTCACTATAGGGAATGGATTTAGGAATTTGGAGCCCAATTTCTTGCTAAGAGTCTCAACTTTATGTATTTTGTGGATAGGAAAACCTTATCTCCCACTCAGAAGGGGGGTTGAAGCGAGCAGTGCTTGTCTCTTGTTTTTTATATTCCTCTGTGGCTTGAGAGATGCCTTTTTTGTATTCTCCCACCCCTTTTTTAATGACTCCATCCATTCTCTTAAAGACATGGATGAGGGGGGTTCTCTAGGAAGTTCTGGCATTGGGACAAATTCCATGCCGCTGGTGACTTGAAAAGGAGTGAGTCCAGTGCTACTGTGCACCGCATTGTTGTATGCCACTTCTGCAAACAGTAATAGGTCTGCCCAGTTCTCTTGCTGGTAATCCACATAGCATCTGATGTATTGTTCCACCATGGCATTCACACGTTCCACAGCTCTATTTGTGCTTGGATGGGAAGCCGAGCTGAATCCTTGTGTGGATTCCATGGACCTCAGGAACTCACTCCAGAACTTGGCTGTGAATTGGACTCCTCGATCCGAAATGATTGCAGTGGGGGGCTCCATGCAGTCGGTAGATGTGTTTGATGAATAGTTTTGTTAGCTTCTTTGAGGATGGTAGTCCAGAGCATGCAGTGAAATGGGCTTGCTTTGAAAAGAGATCAATAACAGTCCAAATTACCGTATTTTCCCCACTTTCTGGGAGCTCGACTATGAAATCCATTGCGATTTCCTCCCAAGGTCTGCTGTGGCTTGCCACTTGTTGAGGAAGTCATGGCAGTTTGCCTGGTCTTGTCTTCATCGCTGCGCATGTGGCACAACTTTTAACGTAGTCTTCCACCTCTGCTTTCATTTTTGGCCACCAAAATTGTCTCCTTGTGAGGTGCAGAGTTTTCAGGAATCCAAAGTGGCCCGCAAGTTTAGAGTTGTGGCTGTGTTGGAGCACCTCAAGTCTTAGGCTGACCGCAATGTACAATTTGGATCCTTTCCATACCAGTCCATCCCTCATAGTTAGGGCGTCTTTGTTGTCAATGAGCCAAGGGTCTGCAGGCAGCGCTGCCTTTAGCTGTACCGTTAATCCATCTCGACCTAGGTCAGGTGGTTGTCGGCTAATAGGTTTTTTCCTGCCGGTATGTACTACAGTTCGAATTTAAAGTGCCTGAAGTATTGAGCCCAATGGACCTGCTTGGGGGACAATTTTCTGGGGGTCTTTAGGGCCTCAAGGTTTTTGTGATCAGTCCAGACCTTGAAAGGCACCTTACATAGAGAGAAGGGGGAGAGAGTGATAAAGAGAGGAGGAGAGAGGCGGAGGGAGATACATGGAGAGAGACGAGGAGGAGAGAGGAGGGAGAGAGACAGACACACAGAGATACAGAGAGAGGGGGAAGAGAGATATACATGGAGAGAAGGAGGGAGGGAAGGAGAGGGGGAGATACAGAGAGGGGGGAGAAGGAGGACAGAGATACATGGAGAGAGAGAGTAAGAGGGGGAGAGAGAGATACAGAGAGAGCATGAGAGGGGAGAGAGACAGACACATAGAGAGATACAGAGAGAGGGGGAAGAGAAATACATGGAGAGAGAGGGGGAGGGAGAGAGGGGGAAAGGGGGAGAGGGAGGGGGAGAGAGATACAGAGAGGGGGGAGAGAGAGAGAAATACAGAGAGAGGGGGGGAGAGAGAGAGGGAGGAAGAGGGGGAGAGAGATATATACAGAGAGAGGGAGAGGGGGGAACACCATTTGTCATTATTTTAGATGTCAAAAGGGTTTTGTGGCTCCAGGTATTTTTTAACAACTGGTTCTCTGCTCTAATGACCGGCTGGGTAGGCATGGCTAGGGGGGATCATGTGACTGGGTGAGAGTGAGTGACATTGAACTGCCCACGCCCATCCAGGTTTTGTGGCTCCTGGTGTTTTCTTTTCTGTGGGAAAGGGGTCCAAATGACTCTTTGAGTGTTTAAGGTTGCAGACCCCTGGACTAGTGGTTAAGGCACTGGGCTATGAAGCAAGAGGCTGTGAGTTCAAATAGAGCCTTGGTCATGAAAACCAGTTGGATGGTTTTGGGCCAGTCACTCTCTCTCAGTCCAATTTACCTTACAGGGTTGTTGCTGTTGTGGGGAAAATGAACACAACTACTCCTTGGTGCTCAGCCTGGGACCTTACTCCTCTTTTACTCCTCTGGAAAGGGGAGAATCCAAATTCCTAGGAACCATATTTCAGGTGGCGCCCTGCATCCCAAATGTAGCCATAAGGAGGGAGGCAGGACTAGCCAAAATCAAAACAGGTGCTTAGATTTACATTTTTGCACCTTGCTTAAAACTTCTCTTTTCCACTACAGGTTTCAGTTCTCTCCTTACAGAAGACAATTTTGAATCAGGAGAGTTCAGGGCCATCTTACAAAAACTCCCATATCCTGGCTTCTCCAGGGAGGGGCTTTTCATGATGGGGGATGAGTTAGTGCACTTAGTGAACTCAAACAAGGGATCAAAGATCTGGAAATCCAACGAGATCAGGCTGCTCTTCCCAAGAATGTTAATTTGAGCAGACAAACTCCCCCTTTTAAAGCAGCGAAATATTTATATTGAATAATCATGTCAAAAATCCAAAGGGCATTAACCTTAGCGCACTGCAACACGATTCTCACAGCAGTTTTGGAAGGCTGATATAAAGAAATAGTGTATGAACTAAGACTGGGTCCCTGTGGACAAGGGGCCACTGAATCTGTAGCTCATGTCCTGTTAGGCTGCATCTGCTATCAGGACTCACGGATTCACTTTATAACGCCTCTCCTGATAAAATATCTGGGAAGTACTGACCTCTTTTATTTGCAACTATTATTATCAGATCAGCACCAAGTAGTTTCTCTGAATGGGGCCAAATTCTGCTCTGCTGTACGCAAACTCTAACTGCCCATTGACTTTATTTTATTTTTTATTTTTCTCTATTACTGTTTTAAATGCTTTTATTTCTAATGCTGGTGTGTGACTGTAATAAAAACTGATTGATTGAAGGAGGAAGATATGTTGGATCCATTTGCCATCTTGAGTTATTTGTAAATAAATAAATACATATTTGTGAAAATGATCTCAAAATCGTACTTGACGGCAACTGAAAATGGGTCCTGAGAGAAGACAAGGAGAAGATTATGACAGCAGCTTCTCCAACTTACAAACTCTCTCAGTGACGAGGGAGGATACAACACTCCTCTAACAGCTGAAAGAGGTTAGCCAGAAACTTCAGATCTGCTCCCTGTTTGTTCTGCCCCAGCTCCGGATTCCCGAGGATATAGACACACACCAATGGTCCTTATCAAATTTATTAAGTAGCAAGAATAAACCAAAGTCCGGCAAAGGTTGGCAACCAGCCCAGAAAGCAAGATACAATAAGACTTTTCCAAAAATGCTCTGATGATAATTACAAGTTGTTTCTAGCAAGAAACTTACTAATGGCATGTGACTTAAATAGGCTAAGGGAGTGGCCAATTATCCTCAAGCCTTACTCTCGAGGAGACCTCCTCCTCCTGAGTAGCCACTCCTGCCTTTTGGCA